TTGGTGCAGGGGGCTGGACCCAATGATCTTCTGAGGTCTCTTACGGCCTTACAGTCTATGAACACCTTTCCTCAGAAGCCTCAAGTGATTTTACTAAATCCAACTCCTGATTCCGCATGGCTATAGTGCTTCTTTTTTAAAGGAAGATGCTAATTTCACTGTGTCCTCACAGACAAAAGGAACTGGAAACTAGTCTCTGAGGGAAGACAGTTTGCATGTTGAGTGTTCCTTGTCCCTCAATTGTAACTTTATTTTTTTAATCCAGTGGATTACAGAGGTTTGTTTGTTTTAAAGGCAAAGTTACATTATGGACTTTTTCCTCTCAACTATTTGCCATCTAAACTTAAAAACTTATCTTGGCTTGTTTGTTTTTACAGAAAGATTAGCTCAGGAATACAGAAGAAGGGGTGAGAGCAGAGCTAAAGCCCACTTTTGGGATAGGTTCACTCTTCATCTTCCTATAAAAAAAAATTAAAAATGGTAACCTTCATTTTGAATGTCCCAGCTTTAAATGTACATGATGGGCTTAACTGGAGCTAGGAAGCTCCTCCCTGGGCAGTGCTAGGGCTGCTACCTTTCAGCCAGACTAAATGCAAGGAAATCACACTCCCACCCCTAATTTCTCCCACCAACCCAAAGCCATTTTATTAAGCTACCTCAAGTCCCTGCACCTGGGTGGAAGGTAGGGGATGTGATGTGAACCTGGGAAGAAGATGGTGAGTGTTACTACGTGATGGGGTGTGCGAGGACACATCAGTGGTAAAGCAGAGTAGAAGTTTCTCAATGTGGGTTGCAAAGAATAAATCCCACCTGGTTCTGCCCCACAGGTCTGCATGAGTAAGCCCCACACCCACCTCTTTCCTCTTCCTCACACTCCCTTATATTGTTCTACATTAACACAGCACTTGGGCCCCAGGATGCCACGTTCTGCTTAGCAGTGCACACAGCAGTCCCCAGGGAGGGGTGAGCCACAAGAATTAGGAGCTGGAACATGACAATGCTTTTGGATACTACTGCTCATCCCCATGAAAATATCCCTTTAATCATTGCTTGGTGTCTCCTGTACTAAGAGATTAGAACTTAAACTTTTCTAACTACCCGACATCTGGCTAAACACCACTGAACTACTTTGGCATCAGCCCAGCGCATTCCTATAAAACCCAATTTATGCTAAACGCTGTCCTGATGAAGCATCAGCTTTACCATTCCCCATTATTAAATCAGATCCCTTGAAGACATCCCAAGAGAACAACTGTCCTGATTCAGCATCTAAGCAGAAAACGCCAGGGCAATAATTTCCATGGATATAGCGGCCGTCATCCCAAATTGCTTTGTTAATTGGATCCATGCAATACCGCTGAAAAGCAGCAGCCATGGCCTCAGAGGCTTGGGGCAGCTGCCAAGGAGTGCACACGATACTGTGAGGGAGAGGCATTTTCTATAAACCCAAGGACAAATTCATATGAGCTTCTAAAATGCATCATGGGCTCTTTAATGGCCACACATTGCAGGGAGGCCTTTGGTTGCCTGAAAAAGCCACCCAGAGAAGAGTCTGGAAAACTGGCTATGTTGTAGATGGGGTCTTGACTTGACCCTGCCTAGATTTGAACCTGGGATCTGAGGCAGACTCAGGCTTTCAGATCCAATGCCATTACTTGTGTGTGTGTTTGTTCTCATTTTCTTTGTACATCTGTTTTTCTTTCTCCAATTTTGTCACTATTTTTACCCACTTCTAACCCAGCCCCTGCCCAGCAATGCTAGGACACAGGAAAGAATGTTGGTTCTTCCCTGGCTGAGAAGTGCTGCTTCATGCTTCACCACGCTACAAGGGGTGCTTAATAAACACACGCATTATGCTTTGACTATCCAAAGCTTTGTACAAACACAAGCTAACACATCCTTACAACCCTCAATAAAGCAGGCCTGGATGTATTCATCTGACAGATGGGGATGGGAAAAGTTTAAGTGTCTCATCCAAAGTCATGGAGTTTGAGGCAGAGTCAGGAGCTGAACCCAGATCTCCTGAGTCAAACCTAGGCCAGTGCCACAGCCAGGAGAGTGTCTTGGTGTCCCCATTTTACAGAGGGAAACTGAGGCATGGATAAACTGAGTGACTTGCTGAGTTAGCTAGCATCAGAACCAAGATTAGAATCCAGTCTCCAGGCTCCTGTTTCCTGAGAGGAGGTCTTGTGGCTATCTACAAATTCATCAGGGGGTGGGACAGCAAGGAATAGGGGATACTCTGTTTACCAGAGTGCCCCTTGGGGTTACTAAGAACAATGGCCATAAACTGATGGGGAGCAGATTTAGATTAGATATTAGGAAAAAAATTCTTTACTGTGAGGGTTGCCAATATCTGGAATGGGCTTCCAAGGGAGGTGGTGCTCTCCCCTACCTTGGAGGTCTTTAAGAGGAGACTAGACAAGCACCTAGCTGGGGCACCTGATCCTGGTGCTCTTTCTTGCCCAGGGCAGGGAGTCGGACTCAATGATCTACCGATGTCCCTTCTGACCCTAAATATCTATGAAATCTAACCCCATGTCTAATCTGACAGACTCCTTTGCACAGGCTTGTATTTTCAGAAGTTGGTACCCAAGATCAGTAGCCAACCTGAGGAGCCTTCATCCTGATTTCAGGGGTACTGAGCACCTACAGTTCCCACCGCTTCCAAGAAAGCAATTGCCTAAAACTTTCTGTTCATACACAGCATTAAAAGCCCCATCTGTGTAACATCACATTGAGCTAGGCCTGACAGAGTCAAGAGAGTTAAAAATGCAGTTACCGAGGAAATCACATTCATCTTCAACTATGGGAAAAAATTATAGTCTCTCACTAAGTTCATGGAGGGGACTACATCCCCTTTCCCCTGAAAGCTTCTCCCTCGTACAGGAAGAACCTCGGATAGCAATGTGGCTATTTGGGGTGGAGCACTTCGAAGCTCCCTGTAATAGGGGCATCCAGACATGACACATGCCAAGTGCTTTACAAATAATGAATATGCACCACCTGGGAGAGTCTGGCAGCAGGAGAAACCTTTCAGAGCAGGGTCCTGGATTAGCATAATTACAGAGCGGTGAAGTCTATGACCAAGCTCCACTCCAGCTGCTTCACCCTGATGGAGCCAGAAGAGGGGTGATGCCAGGGGATCATGAGAGCACTTGAACATGTATATCTCTTCTTCGGTTTGTGCTGCTGAGATCAGCGTGATTGTTTCCGACTGGCTGGAATGATAGATCATAATGGAAGACACTGCAACTGTAGAAGTCTACTCACAAAGACCGGCCAGATCCCATTACCAAGTAGATGGGAAGTGGTTTTCAAGAACAGGGAGGATGCTTTTACTCTGCTGTGTGGGAGATGCATTATTCCGGCTCTATCCGTTTCCAAATCAGGACATGCCAGAGGAGCTAGGATGAGACCATCCCTCAAAAAATCCTTCCTGAACATGCCATGTCCTTGTAAGGCCCTAGGTTCTCTCTTTACAATATAGCTCCCTTCCCATAACCGAGAAGCACTTCATCAGGGCATCTGCCAGGGCACAGCTTTCAGCCCCTGACACTTTTAACAGCAAAGACTTCTGCTTAATGCCATGGTGATTCTGCTTAATGGGGAAGTTTTTGGGTAGCTTAGTAGTGTGTATAACAAGTTTTCTGTAGATCTTGCTTCCCTGCCGGTCCTTGCTGTCTGCTTTTTGGTCCTCCGATAGCTGTGATATTTGTGAAAACACAGGTGCATGAAACACATGTGTTCCTGTATCAGTTTGCAAGCTGTGTACCTACAGAGCCACCAGGCAAGGTGTAGGGAACTGTACCTTTAAGGGGCTCTGGCAGGAAACAGTTGGAATAGGTTAAGTTATGCAGAGGCTCATTTTGCAATAATCAAGCAGGCCTCTGCCAGACACATTGGCCCAAGTAATTACTGAACACCATACCTGGCATCTGAGAAGTCACTCCTACAATAGACAGGCTACAGATTTGATCTCTAGCCTGCCTGAGCTCTCTCCCCTAACAATACGGGTCTGTTCTGTAATATGATCAGTACCACAGTTCCACAGCAGCATTACTGTTAAGACAGTGCCATCTCTTAATTGGGTGGCATTCTTAATTGGGGCAAAAGGCCAAGGAGGGAGGGCATCTCAGCAAAGAAGATGCAATTGTGCACCTAACGAAGGCAAGAAGAATGCCTTGATCACGGAGAAGAACAGTGCAAAAGCAGAACCACTGTGTGTTGGACTCAAGGCACTTTCTAATGGGTTAAACTGCATGATTTAAAGACAAGGGGAGTGACCATAAGTCCCAGACAGATCCCTAGTCCCAGTAGAGACTGGAACAGACAGGAGACGGATTTCCGAGCTGGCCGAATCACAAGGCGTTTGGAGGAAGGGGTGGGGTATGCTATGTTGAGAAGCAGACTTGTCTCAGCTGCCTGTATGATTTCCTCACAAAGACAATATCACCCCAAGCAACACTGTTCCCAAGTCACCCTTCTCCCTCATAAATCTGCCTGTCATTCCATCTCCCTCGACTCTAGAGCCCCCGGCAAGCCCGGCACAGACAGAGAAAACTAAGCTCCGAGGCATTTGCTCAGAATGAAACTGCTGGGACCATCTCCCTCCATCACCATCACTCATCCCTGGCTTTTCATTGAAGCCGTGTCCTAATTAAGCCTGCACCTGGCACTTCTTCATCCAAGATCAAAGGGTAGCTGGAACAAGCAATGTGCTCTTCTTATTGCTGGCATTTAATCAGGCCAGGAAGCACCAGAATCAGCATGCAGTTTTCCTTTGCGGAAAAACACACACGTGTTTGGCAGCACAGGAAGCTCTGAAGGACGCCTACTGAGTCGCAGCTGTCCATCCCTCACACCTGGGCCTGTGCAGGCCGGGGTCATCCTGCTGCATATTTTCCGGTGCTTTTTCCATAACTACCTTGCTTATAAACACTGCCAGAAAAGGATTTCATTCAGAGAAAGCACAGAGCACTCTCACAATAACTTCCAAAGGAGAGACAGGCGCATTAGCCGATGGCTACATGCAACCAAGCATTTCAGGATAGCGGGTGGCCCTGTTTGGAGAAGGCTGCCGCTGCTGTCACTTTAGGTCCAATTGTTCTGGACAGACATCCTGTCCTGTGCGATGTGAAGTCATTTCTAGCCAGGAGGATTGCCATTCCCCTCCTAGGCCTTCCTGCGCTCTTCAGTAAGCAAGCTGGCAACCTCTTGTTATATTCATCTACTACTCGCCTGACAGGTAGCACCAGTGAGCTCCAGTCACGGCCCAGCGCCCTGCGCCATACACGACAGAGGGCTGGCCCCTGCCCCATGGAGCAGGTCACCTACAGCGACTAGCGCTGGGGGTCAGCCTGCACCACAATAACCCGGCGGGTCACCGAAGCTCCCGGAGCCCCGCTGTGCAGGAGGAGATGGGCACGGGACCAGAGCACCCCCGCGCCGGCTGAGGGCAGTGGGCGATGAGCCCCACATGGCTCCCTCAGCAGGGACAGCCGTGCCCGCCGCGTCCATTGGGAAGAGCCCAGAGCCCTGGCACCGCCGCCCCTCGGCCCCAGCCCCGGCCCCGGCGGGCACTCACAGCAGGTCGGGGCGGTGGCGGTGCAGGATGGCGCAGAAGGCCAGGCCGTCGCGGAAGGAGGCGCTGAGGTCGCGGATCTCCACGCCCGCGTAGCCCTGACACT